GGCGTCGGCGTTCTCGGGTCGTCGTCGTCCGTGACTGCCACCACGTCCAGCTGCTCTGGCTCTCCGAGTCCGAGCAGCGGCAGCTGTGGCACGGCCACGTCATCGTCCGCCGTGACCGTGTCAGCGCTGCGTCAAAGCAGCGGCAGCGGCGACGACGACGCCGAGTTCGACGAGGCATCTACCACCACCGCGGCAAGCCAGCATCAACATCATCACCACCAGCAGCAGCAGCAGGAGTGCTACGCCTCGGACCACTTCTGGAACGACATCGCGGCGGCGGAGGCGGCGAGCTACATGTTGATCGACGGCTGGGCAGGAGCCGGTCCCGGTCATCCCGCCGAGCCGCCTTCGTCGCCGGCGTGGGAGTACTGCTCGGATTACTCGCTCTGGAGGATCGATGACGACGAGTACTACAAGAAGATGCTCGACTCCTCCTGATCTATTGCCATCTGCATGCATATCGATCATTATCTTATTTGTTTTTCTCAGCTGTTTAGTCTAGCAGCTATGAATTCAAACGTTTGCCTTTAATTTCGTTGCATCTGTTCGTATGTTATATATAATAATACTAAGTACATATGTATTTGCATCTTCATACTGTAACTATATATAGCATACACGTAGTAACTTGAAGCATATATATATGTATGATACTACTCTGGATCATATTGTATAACATATCAGGACATACATGTAGATCATTATTGTCTTGTGATTTGTGAAAGAATCAGATGAAACTTAACAATTGTAGCTAGTAGGGTCATGCTGCTTCTATATTTATATATGTAATATGTATATTCATGCAATAAGATTATAAGTGATGATGAGTTTGAATATGAGATTGACAAGTACATTCTTCAGTAGCTTCTGAGCTCTATATGTTTGCCGTGAATCTCTTGATGCCCGGGCAACCTCTCTACTTATTTCAGAGCTAGCCTGCATATATAGCCTAAAAAAAGATGGTGATCTGCAATTGAATTTTACCTCTTGTGTTGCAGTACACCGTACGTTTTTTTTAGGTGTGAATGAGTTCACTAAGACAATATCATGTCTTTTTACTAGCTAGTTTCTGCTTTGTATTATGACTGACCACATATATAAACTGATGGCCAGAGGATTATATGTAAATGGTGGAAGGAAGATACTGCGCATATATGCTTCAATACTGAGTTACTGACCCAACAATTTAACCACCAAATAATTAAATTAAACATGAAGCTAAGGACATGTTTGGATCATGCTTGATATTATAATCAGATAGAATAATTCCTAGGTGATCCAAACATCCAAGATTATGAGTTTGATTATAATACTCTAACTAATAGATTATTGTAATCCTAGAAAATCCATCTAAGTCCTAACAGGAGACTATAGATGAGTGGACAATAATCTAGTACCTATAATCTAGGATAAAAAAAACAGATTATTATTACAATATAATCCTTCTCACAATTTAGATTCTAAGAATTCAAAAATGGTGCAAACATGTCATAAGGACTTGTTTATTAGTTACAAGTAATCTTGCCGGCTGGTGCTCTGTACAACCTGAGGCAGGCCATGGCCATGAACCAAATAGGTTAAGTGCACTGGCTGTCTAAGCTAGGTTCTGACTCCAAGCTCTCAATTTCCCCACCTCAAGAAACAAAAAACAAAGATCCTATAGAGAGCGGCACTGCAAACAGGGAGTTGCAAATGTGCATGCATGGGAATCTATATATCTAAATTGATTGATGCCATGGAATGGAATGGAATGGAATGAATATGATGGAAGGAACAAGGGCCCGTGCATTGCAGCATCGTCAAAATAAACCATCCATATCCATTCCAAAGCTGTGGCCAATTGGCCATTGGCCGGAGGAGAGAGATGTGGACCGTGCCAATCGATGCCATCGTACGTACGTGCAGGTCCCAATCCCACCTTTTTCCGTGCATCGATCGCATCCACCACCTTTCCATATCCCAAATAGTACTTGCGCCATTTGACAACAAGCCAAGAACGATTAGTAGCGGATCATCCAATATATAATAAATAACTATTGTATATAATACTCCTCCCGTCCTGAAACATAGTGCATTATGACTTCTAGAATTTCTACTGGAATATAAGACATTCTATATGGTGCTCATACTCATATTTGGCAAAGTTTGTTAATAATAAAACCATTATTTGAGAAGAAATTCCTTAAGGGCCTGTTAGGTTAGCAGGCTCAATCCTGGGCGGAACTGCGTTCTGGTGATGCTTGACCGTATAAGATACAGCAGCGTTCCTAGCCGGATCAATATATTCCAGGCTCAATCCGTGCAAACCAAACGTGCCCTAATTGGGTTTAACCCATGGTTACATGCATTATTTGAGTATTACTTAAGTTTGCTTAAAACTTTTGGAACGCATCATATTAGAGGAAGAGGAAGTAGTAAACTAAAGCAAAAAAAACCCACACATTATTGTACCACATGAGTTTTCTATGCTTCGGGGACCCACATGTGCAGATAGATAGCCTTGCAAGTTGGAGCGCTATAGGGAAAGTAGAATATAAGAAAAATAGAGGCAGAAAGCTATAGTGATAAGAGGAATGCCCAAATGTAAGTATATTATCTTGTTTCTTCCTTTTTAAAATTGCTTTTGTCATCCGACCTTCTAACCCTAATTAACCTAGCATTATCAATGTGCTTTCTTTTTGCATCCACTAGATGTTAATCACAACCTTTTTTTAAGGCACAAACATGATAATTTTTAAGGATTTAGTTGCTCATGGTGATGTACTAGCCAAGATTTAATAGGAAGTCTTGCTTCATCATTGATACAGGATTTGTAAAACAACATGACCATAACACTTGTTTGTTGTGATTCTTTTTAGTACATCGATTTGAGAGTAGTATATAGGAGCAAGTTTTATGCTTGTATTATACTAGTAGATAGATTTGAGATCGTACCATGCACATCAACTTACCACCCTTCCTCCCTATTAACTTTATAGAGAAATGCCCCTATATATCTCTAAATTAGCCATCGAAAATCCTAGCTAATTCCATTCTAAGCTATTTGGGAAGCTCATGTTGCCAACAAGTGATGCTCTACTATGAGCCAATGACTTTGATAGCGACACAAATGGAAGATAATTGGTCATGACTATGCCTAAGCATTTTAAGCCTAGCCCACCTAGGCTCCAAAGCTGGCCCATGGCCCATGCTAAAAAAGTAGGCTCACTCGAGTTATTAGACATGCTTAAGCCAAGCTGATAGGCGCGAAAGAAATTGGGCCTAGCCCAAGCCCAGCCCAAAGTTCATTTTACCCATTTCCCTATATTCTGCTCTCGTGGGCTGTCCTTGTATTGTTCCTCTGTGTTGCCCTTGCTATGTACTCTAACTTGTAAATTCCATTCTGGAGGTCATTCCGGTTTACTCTTTGGAATGGTATATTTCGGTACCGGTGCATTCCGGCGTACCATTCTGGATTTTTATGTTTTTATGGAATATATAAATTATTTTTGATATCTAACCTTTTCTAATACGAGGAATTAGACCATCAGTGAATATTTATAAGAAAATAGAAGAGGTATGTTTGGGCCAGTCTGTAGGAACGCACTAAAAACAGTATAATAATAAGTAGTTTTGGGCCGGTCTAGCATTGGGCTTTTACCCTAGTCAACGTAGCAAAGCAAATCGGATTTAGCTCCGGCCATACGTTCCACCGCCGCCTCCTACCTCCTAGTACTCCAACCAGCAAACCAATGTGAGAAGCTCCAGGAGAGGCAAGAAGGACCAGCACTGCCTTTTGCGTCATTTTCATTCCTGGGCGGCTATCATCAGCGCATGCAGCAGAGCCAAGAAGCAGGCAGCGAAGTAGAACGACTTCGTCTCCGCATCGACGGTACCGGGATAGCCGAGGCTCCCGGAATCGTCGGCCTAGTTGTTCTCTGCTTGTAGTCTCTTTTGTCCCTTGATCTAGTTCTATTAAGGCTTTGTACTTCCGCTGGTTTCGATAAATACATGTGTAGATGATTGGTTTGCTTTGAGTCAGGCAATCAGCCTATGGTTTGTATCCGCATTTGGAGTAAAATAAGGGTCTTTTTATGGTCATTTGGAGTAAAAATCGAACATGTAAGACGCAAAGGGTAGTAAAGCTTTGAAATATCATACAAAAAGGTATAGTTCCCAGTAGTATACAAGAAATGTTCCTCAGCTACATTTTTATGGACGCACAACTCTCATGACTATTTGTTGAACTAAACTAAGCCTAAGTGCAAAAAAAAAAACACATAATAAAATGAATCATAGACCATAATTAGTAAGCTTCGAGTGAATGGAACATTATTTTTTTGAGCTTATGTTATAAGCGATTTTGTTTTTGGAGTAGAAAATACCACAGTCGACTAGTCGAGTGTGCACTGGTCCGTAACAGTGACCGTTGGATCGAAATACAAAGGGGAAAAAAAAACAAAAATCTCAAACCAAACCACTCCTCCCGAGCCCCGTCACCGCCGCCGCTGCTTCCACCCGATCCCGCTGCCCCACCTGCCGCCGCATCTCCTCCCCGGAACTGGGACTACTCCCGGGAAGCTACAGGAACCAGCTTTCCTCTCTCTGATCCTCGCGGAGCGGCTAGTCCCATCTCCCACCGAGAAACCCTAACTCTCCGGCTGAGGGGCGGCGAGGCCATGAGGGCAAGAAGCCGGGAACGGAGCTGAAGCTGGCCGTGCCGGCGCAGGAGACCCCGTCGACAAGTTCCTGTTAGTCGTCTCCTTGTTTCGTTAGCCTAAAAATAGCATCTTTTATCCCTCTTTAATTTTCTGCTCTTTTGATTTGAGTGACCACTGACCACCTTATGGTTTGATTCGCAAGTACTAGTACAATCTAGTTCTGGATCATGCATAACTTTTGTGTTCCCCTTGATTTGATCATGAGTTCAAATTTAGTATTTGGGAGTTATTGAACAGCTGCCAGAATTGATGTCTTCTATCGATGGTCCCATTTTAGGACGGCGAGTGGTACATTCAAGGATGGTGAACTACGGCTTAATCAAAGAGGGTTGCGGCTTATCTCAGAGGAAAATGTGAGTCCTGGATCGGCAACTACTGCCTTTGCTGTTTGTTGATTAGTCCAACTGTACTCTTGTGGAATGTAGCTTATTTTCGCATTGATGATTTGTATAGAAGCACCTGTATCAGTTCACTGGTAAACCTTTTAATTACTTTTTTGAATTACCCTTTTTATGGAATGCATTGTACCCATGCAACTCATACAAGGGACCTTTATCTTTAAAAATTATTGATTTTCCATTTCTGGTTAACCTTGAAGATCAAATGTGGATTTGAAATGCATGGAATTTATACTCTGGACACTATTAGTTGTTCCTGGTTATTAAGTCCCACCGTAAGAAGTTTTTCCAGTCAGTGGGAGCAGCATATGTTTTCAGTTTTCCCGAATGATTGTCATATTTAACTTCCACTCCTATAGGACTATCTTGGTCAACAGTTTGCATTACTGTTTGCTAGTATTTTGTTAATGATCAAGTTGTTTCTGAACCTGTATTGTACCTTTTCTCAGCAATCAACAAACCTGAAGGTGGAAGTTGTGCAGTTATCAATGGATGATCTTGAGATGATTCAAGTCATTGGCAAAGGAAGTGGTGGTGTTGTCCAGCTAGTGCGGCACAAGTGGGTGGGGACATTATATGCTTTGAAGGTAATTTCCAGTGCAATGATTTCTTCTGGTGCACACCACACTCACTATTGCAATGAAAACTATGTATTTTGCCTACCATGTATCTCTACTGTATTTTTTATTGGCATGCAAAACAATTTCATCTTAGATGGGACATGGGATCTATATGTTTGAACTTATTCAAACATTTTTACTGCTTGTTTTGTCTTGTAAACACTTAGAACCTAAAGATTTGGTTTGTTTCGTCAACTTTGTAACAGTATATTAGCATGGCAGCATTAATTTTAGTACACAAAGATGTGTTCTCGTAAAATAAGATGGGGAATGCTAAGTGAATGTCAAAGCGACATCTAGTACTAACTTATGTTTACATATGAAATCCCTGAAAAACTTCTAGTAGTTAATGAGCACTGATGTTAATGGACGATAGGTCATCAGGTAATGTATTCAGGTCTACAAAAATTTGAGAACTGTCCCTGGTGATAGTGGTTCTGTGTCATTTCACCCATGAGACTAATCAGTTTATTAACCAGTATCACAATTCCTTCTGCAGGGTATTCAGATGAATATTCAGGAAGCAGTGCGCGCAAGCAAATAGTACAAGAGCTCAAAATAAATCAAGCAACACAGTGTCCATATATAGTTATGTGCCACCAATCTTTTTACCACAATGGTGTCATATGTCTTGTTCTTGAGTACATGGATCGTGGATCTCTTGCGGACATCATTAAGCAAGTGAAGACTATTCTTGAGCCATACCTTGCAGTACTTTGCAAGCAGGTACGAATAAAATTGGCCTTTGTTTCTTTCGTAATTTATATATTTTAGAACTAGACGAATTCCCCGCGCGTTGCCGCGGGATTTAGAGCTGAAATTACAGCGTGAGGGATAAATACTAATGAGAGATTATTCTGTCAAACTCTTCTAGAAAATATGAAGTAAAAAGTCTACGTACAAACACATGCATGAAAAAAAAATTACCATAGACTCTGACAGATAGGTTTCTCCATAGTTCTTAGGACCATGCCAATTTGACACTTAGACATAACATAAACAAATCTGAGTATATTCTTCAAAGCATGGATTAAAAATGATTTAGTATATTTATAGAAATATTGCAGTAAACGGTAGATCTTTCTCTTAAATATTTTTTGGATAACATAGTCCTTGAATACTCAAACAGTAGATCATTGCTTCTCCTTTATTGGGTATTTGTACGACATATGCAAATGTGAAATTTAGGTATTCTTCAATGCGTTATAGCTCATGCATCTTCAGTATACAACAAAAAAAGACAGGAAGTCATGGAAGAAAAAATAAATTTAATGCAGAAAATATGGTCTCACTTTATAATCTCATTGCTGTTGTAATTAGTTAGGCACTTTGCTAACAGAGACAGCTTAAACTTTAAACCATTGGATCATATAAAAAATTCAGAAACCACATTCTGTTCTAAGCACTCGTTTCTCCTCATCAGATCTGCAGCCCGAGCCACGCCTTCTCCGTTGCTGCTGCTTGCTCAACACAGGCGCCATTGCAGTGGCCTCGACGTATGGGTTGCCAGGGTCGTGGCGCCATTGTAGCTTTTACGCACGCTGGGTGAGGTGGGCAATCGTGGCCTCAAGCGCAGACAGCCAAGGGAGTGAGCGCCGTGGCCTCAACGCACAGGAGGCCGTGGCGTCGCTGCTGCGAGACATGGGGCCTTTGTCGTCCGAGGATGTGGGTTGTCGAGATCCAGAGCGCGGGGGCGTCCTGCACGTGCGACTTCTCCCCGTGCAGGCACACGGCCCCCTCGTGCTGGGCGTGCTCCCCTGGGACCGCCGATGACACCACATGCACATCGCTGTTGTAGTGCACGCGCTGCCACTGTGCTAGCTTCAAGCCCAGAAGAATGTTCCATGCTCCTCGCTCCTCCTCTGCTGCCGTGGTGGCAGAGGTTCTTGGCTGACTCGGCCGAGGTGTCTGGTGCTCTCTTCCTCGATGGCTACAGGGGGTGTGCCGGTGCTGCTATCGTTCATCTCTGCCTTTATATAGGAGATCAAGGAGATGAATGAATAAACACAGATGGCGACAATAATGTGGGCTTCTGAACTCTTCGGCTGTCCGTCACGAGGAATCGAGGAGTCCAATAACTGACTTCCACTTTGGCTTGGAAAGGGTATGGTCGTCGTAGGTCTATGGGAGACAGAGAGGCCGGACACTGGATCTGACAGTTTACATCATTGAATGACGTGGAATGCTGTGGTGCAAGATAATATTTGTAGTGGGGTTTTGCTTTATAAGAGATACAGATAAGCTGGAAGTCCTGTCATTAACATATGTTGAAACTTGAAACCACATTCTCACACCGCTAATATCGAACAGTATTCTGGTTAATTCAGGTCTTGGAGGGTTTGCTATATCTTCATCACGAAAGGCATGTGATTCACAGGGACATGAAGCCATCTAACTTGTTAGTCAACCGTAAGGGTGAAGTAAAGATTACTGATTTCGGGGTAAGTGCAGTGCTAGCAAGTTCGATGGGTCAGCGGGATACATTTGTTGGAACCTACAACTATATGGCGGTATGTTGAATATGTTATTTGTTTCATGTGATTGCTGAAGGGCGGGCCTGGTGCAAGCGGTAGTCTTACCGCCTGTGACCGGAAGGTCCCGGGTTCGGTCGCGGTCTCCTCGCATTGCACAGGCGAGGGTAAGGCTTGCCACTAACACCCTTCCCCAGACCCCGCACAGAGCAGGAGCTCTCTACACTGGGTACGCCCTTTTTCATGTGATTGCTATTTTTTCTTTCATTAGTAATTGGAATGCTTAAAAGTGTGGTGACAGTTTTTGTTTTGATTCCTTCTTCAGCCTGAGAGGATTAGTGGAAGCTCTTATGACTACAAGAGTGACATATGGAGTTTGGGCTTAGTACTACTTGAGTGTGCAATCGGTCGGTTCCCCTATATTCCTTCAGAAGGAGAAGGTTGGCTAAGCTTTTATGAACTACTGGAAGCAATTGTTGATCAGCCACCACCTTCTGCACCTGCAGATCAGTTCTCTCCAGAATTCTGCTCATTTATCTCCTCTTGGTACGAAAAACATCCCAGTCTCCTGTCTTCTATCTTGTCCAGTTAATTTGAATCAAAACATCTTGTTTAAATTGATCTTGCAATGTAACTATTGGGAACACACTGCAATTGGCACGTAATTGCTTAAGTTGCTTCACTCTGGAGCTGTAGTTGGTGGATTAAGCAAGGAAAACATAGGATTCAATGCTGTGAATACAATGTGTTGGTTACACTTCAATTGACACATACTCCTGCCCATTGGTTCTGTTGTTCTGGCTTAATTTTTGTGCCATGCTACATTACAGAAGAACACTGAAAATTATGTCGTAACCTTTAACAAAGGTAGGTAGATTACCCCTTCAGCCCTTGATACACGAAACTGCACTACTTTAGCTAAAATTTGAATTTTTTTTGAGGAACTAAAAAAAATTGAATTCTGGGTCGTTGACAATTCACTTAGTTGCAGACTTGTAGGTCCTTACTGCGCCTGACTGTTATGTCTGAGGTCAAAAAATAATAGTTGATTGAGACCAGCCATTCCACAATTCACATGGTTTCTGGATTAACAAAGCATGACTTTGGTTGTGAACTTGTGATAGAATCTACCCTACAAAACTTTTGTTCTTGTAATACTGACTATATTTCCAGTTCTGGCCTGTGGTGTTAAATTTCGCATAGATGTTAAGAAAATATCGTTAGTGATTCATCATCAGTGTATGCTGCACTGTAGTCTTATATTTTGCTATATCATTTTGCAGCATACAAAAGGACCCAGCAGGAAGGATGTCTGCTTCAGAACTCTTGGTCAGCATGCTTCTCCTAAATCAACTATTTGCTATTACTGTTGCACAATTCATTTGGGTAACTTGTGTTGAGTTGCTATTTATGTCGTTGCAGAATCACCCTTTTATCAAGAAGTTTGAGGGTAAAGATCTAGACCTGCGAACTCTTGTGGAGAGCCTGGAACCTCCAATGAACATACCCGAGTAGCCAAGGTTCAATTATCATTCCTGCATTGTATTCAAGGCCGCTGTCGCGGCCTTTGGTATCAGGACATATTTTTCCGGCATCGTGTCCTTGAATGAAAAAAGCCGTGTGCCCGTGTGTATGTTCTTGACCATGCCAGAGAACAATGCATCATTGTAAGTTTGTTTAACACCCAAGGCCCTTTTGTTGTGTTTCAGAATGCCTCTTGTGACTAGTATCCCTTGAAAAGGCAATTGGTCACCGTGAATGGTTTGGAGACGAAATTGAATTGAGTACTTCTGTAACCATCAAATGGAGAGGAAAAAACATGTAAAAGGGTGTTGAAAGGAAGGCAGAAAGTCATCGTATATCTTGGCATCCTAATGATGACGCCGGCATATGCATGATTTGCAGCTCTATTTTGGGCTGATCACTCAATAATTAGCTAGAGAACAGATCCCTCATTCTTTTAATCCAAAAAGATGCAAGGATATGCTTACCGATTGCAACATGCTGATTAATAACAATAGCTTGTTTCAGCTGTTGCCATCACTCGTCAGTGAATATGCTTAGTGATAAGCTGGACATCATCATTCAGTAATCATCTAGAAGTACTGAAAGAATCACATCGATGTTGTTTAATGATAAGCCAAGGGCTATCAAGGATGGATGGATCTGATGATGATGAGGGTACTCAGTAGTTAAGCGACTAAGATTGTCTACCGTCTGATCCTTTTGTTTCACTTCCTATCAGATATTGACATGCATGGAGTAAGCCTTGTTACTTGCATAATTATCAGTACTTATCAGTGTCTTTATACTGTTCATGATAATTAATCAAGGATATGACTCTCAAAGCAATGGTAACTTAGCATTGTAGAGACACAAAGTCACGAATCTATCCTGAATCGACACTGATTAGAGGGATTTTTAACTTTTTGCCATCCTTACAGATGGCACTCCTTTGTTTGCCACATTTGTGCGCGTCCCTACACATTTGCCATTGCAAACAGTAACTCCTACGTTTTTGCCATTTTTGCTGAGGTGGCATGCCAGATGGGCATGCCAACGTGGCAGGGAGCCTGGGAGCCCTAACTTGGCACGTGAAATGACCACGCTGCCCTCGCCTCCTTCTTCTGTCTCTAGCCTACCCAGTCCTGAGTCAAACCCAGTCCACTCCCCCTTCTTCCCCACTCATGGCAACGGCGACGGCGGCATCGAGTCTCCTTCCCCTTCCTTGGACGCAGGACGACCATACTAGGTACTGCCCGCACTCCCCTAAACCCTATTTCCCCAGTTGCGTTCCCCAATCTAGGGTTTCGATTTGATTCGGTTTCGATTTGATTGGTGGTCCATTTGATTGTAGTGACGTTGCGGTAGCCATTGTTGTTGATCGTATGCGTTAAGATGAAGTGGACTGACTGCCCTCCTTGGTAAGTTCGATGTGCCGTAGTGTTTGGTGTAGTTTTTGGGATCCCATAGTGTTTTGGAGTTGGATGTCTCCTAACTCCACATGTTTCTTTATTTGTTTATGATTATTGTCAGGATTGATACTGGCAATGCGTTTAGAATCCACGTTAGTGTTGCTAAGTACACAACCAATGTTGATTATGGATCTGTCGAAATGGATGACCAAGAGCATGATGTTTGGATTGATCTTACCAGTCACTGCTCTCTATCTAAATTTGTGAATGAAATGGCTGGAAATATCATTTGGGGTAGTGGGCAGCAGCTAGTTGTTTGGGGTTTGGACAAGGAGAGTGGGACAGAATGGAAGGTTACTACTGATGATTAGTTCAGGGAGATGATAGAAGCTAGATGGGATGAGAAGAAAATGGATGTTAGCTATGAAGTACTTGACAAGGATAAGGTATCATCCAGACAGAACAGAGATGCAGCAGCAAGAAATGTGTCAAATGAGCATAGTGTTCATGCCACATCCGGTGTAACAGCAGAGCAAGGAAATGTTGAATGCACAGATGATGCTTGTAGCAGTCCAGAGCATACAAAATCAGATGATGTTGTTATTGATTGGTCAACTTTCACAATATTACCTGAGGAAAACTTAGATGGGGATGCTACTGTTTTAGTGGATGAGGAACAAATCTATGAAGCCATGGGCTTCAAAGCTGCAGATGAGGGGATAGCAGGTGCTAATGGTCCACCAGAGATTCCAGTGCTAGAGATTCCTCCTGAGGTGGAAGAAGAAATGGAAGCAGCAGCTATCCATGTTGATGACAATGAAGCAACTGAGCCCTTGTTTTTCTACGATAGAGACAATCCTGACATGTCTATAGGCACACTGTATCCATCAATGCCTCAATTCAGATTGGCAGTTAAGCAACATGCTATAGTCAAAGAGTTTGAGTTGGGCACTGAGAAATATGATCCTGAAAGGTTTAGAGGATTTTGCAAATCAAAAGGATGCAAGTGGATTATTAGAGCTAGAACTCAAAGAGATAACAGTGTCAGGGTATATATTACTAACTATTTTTTGTTCTAGAACATGTCACTGTTTTTTTTATCTAGTTAACCTGTTGTTCTGTGGTTTGTATGAAACTTAGTTCATAAATATAGTCTAATGTTGGCTTTCTTGTTTATTTGTTTGTAGATACAAATAAACTCTAATGTGCATACTTGTGCCTCAAGGAGAGTTTTGAATAGGATGGCATCCCAGGCATGGATTGCAGAGAGAGCAGTGCCTCTGCTTAAAGACAAGCCTCAGATGGGGGCAAGGGAGCTCAAAGAATAACTTGAGAAGAAATACAAGATCAACATAAATTACTAGACTTGCTGGTATGGTAGGCAGAGGGCTACAGATAAGCTTTTTGGTAAGTGGGACGATTCATTTGATTGGTTATTCAGATTCAAAGCAAAGATAGAGCTTAGGTCCCCAGGTAGTGTTGTTGAGATAGACACTATGAAAGTAGGCAAGAAGGTTCATTTCAGTAGATTTTTCTGTGCATTCAAGAGTAGTATAGATGGCTTCCTAGAGGACTGCAGGCCATACATTAGTATAGATTCCACTACTCTCAATGGGCAGTGGAATGGACACATGCCTGCAGCCAATGCTATAGATGGGCACAATTGGATGTTCCCAATAGCATTTGGTTTCTTTGATTCTGAGACCAAAGAGAACTGGATTTGGTTCATGGAGCAGTTAGGCAAGGCACTTGGTCCATTAGACAAACTAGCTGTGTGCACAGATGCCTGCAAGGGTCTAGAGGACGCAGTTAAACAGATATTCCCAAGGGCAGAGCAGAGGGAATGCTTTAGGCATTTGATGGACAACATGAAGAAAAGGTTTTCTCAAGGGTAGGGCAGTGGTTCATTGTTGGGTCAATACATGTGGCCAGCAGCTAGAACTTACACAGAGGAGAAGTATGAGAGGCTCATGGCCAAGGTTGTTGCAGGTTCAGCAGATATCTTATCTTGGCTAAATGAGCATCACAAGTTACTAGGGGCTAGAGGCAAGTTCTCAGCAGACATTAAGTGTGACTACATAAACAATAATCTTGCTGAGTGCTGGAATGCTTGGATCAAACATCTCAAAGACCTGCCACTGGACTCCCTAACAAATGCAATTAGGATCAAGACAATGGTCTTGTTTGAGAAAAGAAGGAAGATCTCACTAGCTTTGACTGGTGTCATCCTTCCTGCTGTCATTCACCAGCTAAATGCTACCAGTAAGGGACTAGATCATCTCTAGGTGACTAAAGGGAACCCCTAAGAAGCTGAAGTGACTGTGATATACAAGGGTGAGGAGATCAGAAGGCATGTTGTCTACCTAGATCTGCAGGAGTGTACATGTAGGGAGTGGCAGGTCAGTGGCAAGCCCTGCCCACATGCCCTTGTTGTGATCATCACTGAAAGGCAGCCAGACATGGAAAAGTATGTCAATGGGTACTACTCAGTGAAGAAGTTACATGCAGCTTATGCAGGTGTGATACCCAGCATAACTGACAAGCAACAATGGCCTGCAGTTGATAAGGGCTTCAAAGTGTTTCCACCAGTGGCCAATAAAAAGACAGGACCTGGGAGACAAAGGAAGAATAGGATTCTCAGTTGTTTGGAGAGGACAGGGAAAGCAACAAGGCAAGTGACATGTAAGAGTTGTGGTGAGCTTGGCCACAGAGCCACCAGCTAGAGGTGTCCACTAACAGGCACCAAAAAAAGGTATGTTTCTTTTGCAATTTCATCAGTTATTGTTACACTAATCTATCTAAGCTACTAACACATCATGTATAGGAAGAGGACTAAGAAGACAACCACTAAGTCTGGAAGGAAGAAGCAAAAACCTAGTGAGGATGAACCAGCAAAGGAGGGAGAGGAAACATCAGCTCCCACCACTAAGGCAGCAACAACAAAGACTACAAGGAAGAAGAAGAAAACTACTGACAAAGAAACAACTAAGGAGGGAGAGGTAGCAACAAAAGAACCTGCAAAGACACCAAGGACCAGAGCAGCAACAACAGCAAGGGAGCCATCAGCTAAGCAAGCACATGAAGGAGCTGCAGGCCAAGCTGTGCAAGGATCAGTAGTGCAGGTGGATCAAGCACCAGGCAGCAAAAGGTTTGTTGCTTCCATTTACATCAACCAGCTACTAATGTACTGTGAGATGCACAAGCAACTAACTAGTGATTCACTTGTAGGAGGCTAGACTTGGATGAACCAGTGCCACTGGAGATAGTACCAGTAGATGAAGCTGCAGCAGTGCAACCAGCCAAAAAATGACCCTAAGGAAGAAACAGCTAGCTACTAAGGTGAAGAAGGCAACACCAATAAAGGCTGGCAACTAAGGCATAACCACTGTTTTAATGGCTGTTCTTTTGTATGTATTTTGGAGACAGGAACTCCTATGACCAATTATGTATGGCTGTCATGGACATGTTATGTATGGGATGGACCAGTTATGTATGGCTGTCATTGCCAATATGGACCTGTTATATATGGACCAGTTGTGTATGGCAACTGCTGAACCTAATAATGGATTAGCTTGGTATGCAAATTTCTATCAATTTCAATGCCTCATAAGCCTAATCTCCACCCATGCTCTTTCTAACTGGCAAATGTTCTGGTAACTAACACTACGATGAAAAAACAGAATAAGGATCTACAAAGTGACTCCCATAACATTTCAGCATACATTTTTCCATTGCATTAACATGTTCAGTATACATTTTCCTACTACTGAGAACAACCATTCACTTGAACACATACATTATGGCAACAATGCATACAACAAATAACACTAAAATCAACATCTTAAGCAAAGAAATCAGGGCATCCAGCTTGGCTTCCATGTTGTTCTTCCCAGCACATTTTGACTGTGCTTCTTCTTCACCAAATCCCCAAGCTTCTTCTACTTCTTCTGCACCTAGGCCAACTTCAAGATCAATGACAACAAACTTCAACTCCACCAGCTTCTTCAAGTATGCTTTCTGAAATTCATAGAACCTACATCTACCAGCCATCTGCAAAATGCCCAACAGTTAGGGTTCTTCAACCAAACCCAAAACTAAAACCAAAACCAAGAAAAATTCAAAATGGAACAAGGAAAACCCTTACCCCGGGCACATTTTTGGGACACTTGAAGAACACGCGCCCCTGGTTGCCGTTCTCCGTTGTCCTCACTATCAGCTCAATTACCCTCTCTCTCTTGCATGTGGGACACATGATCAGCGGGAGCCCAGTCTCCTTCCCGATGTCTTCCTCCTCGATAGCCCACGACACCATGCTCCTTGACGAAGAGGGCTCCGTCCTCCAAGCCATGGGGTGTACGAGGGACGAGGATCAACTGGGGAAATAGGGTTTAGGGGAGTGCGGGCAGTACCTAGTATGGTCGTCCTACGTCTAAGGAAAGGGAAGGAGACTCGATGCCCCCACCGCCGTCGCATCCGCCACAACCGCCGTCGCCGTCGCCACGAGTGGGGAAGAAGGGGGAGTGGACTGGGTTTGACTCGGGGCTGGGCCGGCTGGAGATAGAAGAAGGAGGCGAGGGCAGCGTGGTCATTTCACGTGCCAAGTTAGGGCTCCCAGGCTCTCTGCCACGCTAGCGTGCCCATCTGGCGTGCCACCTTAGCAAAAATGACAAAAACGTAGGAGGGTTACTGTTTGCAATGGCAAATATGTAGGGGCGCGCACAAATGTGGCAAACGAAGGAGTGCCATCCGTAAGGATGGCAAAAAGTTAAAATTCCCCTGATTAGAGTGTCATATCTTGAGTTATTCTTTATTGTTCCGTGTAGGAGCTTCTGGTCCTTTGATAGAAACAGGTGTCCTCAATCTGACCAGATGTTGTTCATAGTTTTGATACTCAATACAGTAAAAACTATGTACACTTTAAACTTAGACCATTAACATCTCTTCAACTTGTCTAGTCTAATACTAAACTACGTAGAAAAAAAGTATCACTAGATTTATCTTGGAAAATAGTTGCAAACAGTACTCATGCTTTTTTTTACAAGGAGAATTTTGTTTTATTATGATAAGACTTCTTGGATCGACAATTAGACTAGGAATATTTCATCCATGTGATACAATCATACAAAATTATGATAACGAGTAGGTAACTTTTTAAGAAGAGAATGTAATGGCATCAATTTTCGTTGCAAAAATTATGCATTAATTGGTAGAACAAATCGTAATTGTGGGACCAAATGAAATATGTCTTGTACAATTTCAGCTGAGGGAGTATGACTTGACTAAGGACATCAAAGTCATGAAGACCCTAAAGACCTTAAGAGTGTTTCTTAAACCCACTATCTACGTCATCATTTGGAGAGCCATTTGAATAAAAAGAGCGTTCTTTATATATACGATAATGATATGGCCTGAGCGTCCGAAGCGGACAGACGCTCCATTTCGAAATGCGACGCATGTCGTCTAAGCGCCGCTGCTGCCGCCCCCACCTGTTCTCTTTGTGTGTCGTCGCCACGCCCCACCCCTGCCCTCTGCGTCGTCGTGCCCACCCCACCCCTGCCCTCTACATGTCGTCGCCTAGCTCCGTGCGGCTCGTGCGACGTCGCCTTTGTCTGTGCTTGAGCTCCACGTTGCCGACGAGCTCCATGTCGTCGAGTCGTGTTGCCGGCGAGCTCCAGACCGCCACGATTCGTGCCACCAACATCCATGCCACCGCCCGATCTCCACGCACCACTGTTGAGCTCTGTGTGCCGATGAGCCTCCGTTTGCCCAAGTAGGAGGAGATGTTGCTCTAAAAAGCCTATGTTGCAATTTGCAAGCCTATGTTTCGAATGTTTTAGGTGTTTCGAGCGCATGTTGCAGGTGCTTTAGGCACATGTTGCAGGTGTTGTGTTGCTAGGAGATGTTGTTCTGAAAGACTATATTGCAAGCCTATGTTTCATTTGTTTCAAGTGTTTCAAGAGCATGTTGCAGGTGCTTCAGGCGCATGTTGCAGGAGTTGTGTTTACGGATGTTGCAACAACAATATTATACATGTTTTAACAGTAATCTGGGCATGTTTCAGTAGTATATCGCCTTGCATCAATGATATTGTACATGTTTCAATAGTAATCGGGGCATGTTTCATTAATGTTGCACCGGTGGGCTCCAAGGGCGTCCGTGCGGAAGCCAACATCCTCTGCGCACTGCCGCCACCGCCGCCCCCACCCGTTCTCTGCGTCATTGCCGCGCACCCACCCCACCCTCTGCGCGCCGGTGGCGCCCTCCCCCTCCCGTTCTCTGCGCCGTCGCCGCGTCCCATCCTACCATCTGCGCATCATCGCCCAGCTCCGTGGCGTGCCGCCTTCTACGTGTTGCGGAGCTCCGCGTCGCCGGCTCCACTTTGCCGCCGAGATCCACGCCCAGACGCTCCGTCCCGGAACGTGCGTGCTCCTGTCCTCTGTGCACTGCTGCCACGCCCTACCCATCCTCTGCACCGTTGCTGTCCCCAAGGGGAAACAGAGCAGTCGCGGGACGTCCGGGCGCTAGTCCTTCCGTTATAATATATCTTTCCACTCTCCAACAATCTGGATGCCCTAACTAAGGTGTAGTAGTGTCTTGTGACTATATCGCCATCCAAAATCGACACTTATTTATGACGGGAATACTGGATGGACTGAGAATAATTACGTTAGAATGCTTGATAAATAAATACGATAATTATTACTATTAGATGTGATATATATGGCCTCTATCATGCGGGCGGCACTGAGGAGCGTCACCACGCACACCATTCCGCACTCACCTGCCCTCTGCTCAATCTCAATCTCTTAGCCATCCATACGCCATATCCACCATGCATTATACTATGCTCTATGCTCTACTAGCTGACTAGCTCTAGCTCTCATCTCTCCCTCTATCCCAAAACTACCCAAGTGGACCTCATGATATAAAGGGGGAGGCCAGCTGAGCCCAAGGAATCAAGCGAGCTATAGCAAGCTGCCTGCGCGCTGTTTCTTCTTCCGGCCTCCTCCTTCCTCCTCTCGATCGATCAAGCATCAAACAAGCTTGGTCTTTTGTTTCTGTCTAGTCGATCGAGGCAGGTACGGTCTGTCGCTGGACGTAGCGATCGACTACCATGTCGTCCTTGCTGTGCAGCCGCAGGAACAACAAGAAGGACGATGGCGAGCCACAGATCATCATCAGCACGCCGGCGGCGACGATGAGGAAGGGCCCGTGGACTGACGAGGAGGACGAGCAGCTGTTACGGTTCGTGCGCCTGTTCGGCGAACGCCGATGGGATTTCTTAGCAAAGGTGTCAGGTTTGCGCGGTGGCGGGTGCGTCGATCGATCCCTCTCCATGCATCGCCATGTCAAAGATCTTCAATATGATCTGCGTGCATGCACGAGGAGGATCGGTCGACCCAGTGACGTCTCGATCGAGCAGTGCCGTTAACCGTTTGCCTCTTCTTCTTCTTGTTCTCCCTCTCTCTGCGTCTGCATGCGGCTCTTGTGGATGGACGCAGGTCTGCGGCGCACCGGTAAGAGCTGCCGCCTCCGGTGGGTGAACTACCTCCACCCGGGCCTCCGCCGCGGCCGCATCACCGCCGACGAGGAGCGCCGCATCGTGGAGCTCCACGCGCAGTGGGGCAGCAGGTGGTCGCGTATCGCCAGGAGCCTCCCCGGCCGCACCGACAACGAGATCAAGAACTTCTGGAGGACGCGGACCAGGAAGAAGGCGCTTGAGGAGAGGAGGGCCGCTGCGGGTGCGGGTGCGGCCGCGACAGCGACGACGGCGGAGCCAGCGTCGTCGTCGTCCCCTTCGTCGTCCTCGGTGACGACATCCGAGTGCCGCGGCCCCGGATCGTCCCCCACCAGAGGCGCCGCCACCACCACGTCGTCCTCATCGGGCTCGTCGTCGTCGCTGTGCGAAGGGCGCTGCAGCGGTGACGGCGACGGCGACGGCGAGCTCGAGGAGGCGTCCACGCCCACCGCGGCGCCGGCAACCAAGCATGAGCAACAGCAACATCAACAGCAGCCGCAGGAGTACTACGGTTCCAGCATGGACCAGCTGTGGAGCGAGATCGCAGCAGCCGATGCGGCGGCGATGAGTTACCTTGTCGGCGACGCCTGCTGGGGCGGAGCTGATCATTATTACTATGGCGCTGCCGCTGAGCCGCCGCCGGCGTCGCCGCCGTGGGAGTGGGAGTACTGCGGCTCGGATTTTTCGCTCTGGAGGATCGACGACCAAGAGTACTACAAGAAGATGCTCGACTCCTCCTGATGATCATCCCCAGGCGTATCCATATACATCACGTACCTACACTACACGCTTAATTTGGTAGTACGTGCTCTGTGAATTTGCTCATCATCCAAGCGAGGAACGAATTATTGAGTGGTAGGGATGATAGATAGATAGATCATCTATATATCTTAGTAAGAGCTTATTATGAATTTAGTAGATCATGGTGGTGGGATGAGAGCACTTTGTATTAATGGTGGTTTCAAACTAGTGTGATCGACTGAATATATATAGTTTGCATTTGTCTGAATCGATCGATCGATCTCCTGATCGACGATACTGATATATTATATTGTGTAACCTCTACTTATTAGTTATTACTACTTAGCTTGTTGTGGCCTAAAAGATGGATGATATGAAATCTGTCGGTGATCGAGTTTTACCATGTGCATTTGCAGTTATATGTTTGCACTCTTCATGATTATTAGTATTATTATTAGGTGTGGTGACAAAAGAATAAGCTGAGAGCAAGCAGAACAATAATCAGTTGTGATTTCACCAAAGCGAGTACAGAGTATATATATAGATAGATTCTCACTCCATTTTTTGCTCTATATATGTGCTACTTAATTCACTACCGAAAACGTCAAATTTACCGAGTGTTTTTATGTTTGCCAAGTGTTTTTCCTCGTGCACTCGGCGAACAAGTTCTTTGCCGAGTGCTGCGCTACAAACCCTCGGCAAAAAAAAACACTCGGCAAATAGAAGGTTCGCCGAGTGTAAAAAAACACTCGGCAAAGAGGGGGTTTGCCGAGTGTTTTATTTTTTGCACTCGGCAAAGAACAAAAATCATTTTTCTAGGAAAGAAGGAGAAGAAAAAAAATTAAAAAAACTTTGCTGAGTGCCCAGATCTAGGACACTCGGCAAAGGACCAAAAATCATTTTTCTATGAAAGAAGGAGAAGAAGAAAAAAAATAAAAAAAACTTTGCCGAGTGCCCAGATCAAGGACACTCGGCAAAGGACAAAAAAATCATTTTTCTGGGAAAGAAGGAGAAGAAAAAAAATAAAAAAAAAATTTACCGATTGTCTAGATCTAGGACACTTGGCAAAGGACAAAAATAATTTTTTTCTGAAAGAATGAGAAAAAAAAAAAAAAAAAATTGTTGCCGAGTGCCCAGATCTGAGACACTCAACGAAGAAAAAAAATCATAGTTAATTCCCGTGGGCTCCCCTTCCCTCCCCATTCTTCTTCCCGCGGCCACCCCTCCCCTCCCCATTCTTCCCATGGCGCCCCTCCTCCCTCTCCCGCCTCCTCCTCAGATCCGCCACTTGCACGGCCCTCCCTCCCCTCTCCGCGTGAGTCCCCCCCTCCCTCCCTCCTCTCTCTCCTGCCTCCTCCTCAGATCCGCCCGCCGGCGCGCCCCTCCCCTTCTCCGGCGCGCCCCCCTCCCTTCCCTCCCCTCCTCCCTCTCCTGCCTCCTCCTCAGATCCGCCCGTCGGCGCGGCCCTCCCCTCCCTCTCTGGCGCGCCCCCCTTCCCTCCCTCCCCTCCTCTCTCTCCTGCCTCCTCAGATCCGCCCGCCGGCGCGCCCCTCTCCCCTCCCTCCGGGGGGCCCTTCACGGCTGCCTCCTCCCCTCCCTCTCTCTCCTCCTCCCTCCCCAGATCTGTCCCGGCGGATCCGCCCCCCTCCCTCTCCCGGCGCGGCGGCACCCTGCCCTCTCCCTCTCCCAGCGTGGCGGTGCCCTCCCCCTCCCTTTCCCGGCGGCGGCGCCCTCCCCCTTCCTCTCTCGGCATGGCGGCGCTCCCCCTGCCTCTCCCTGCGCGGCGGCGCTCCTCCACCGCCTCCACCAGATCCGGCCCCGGCGAGGGCGGATCCGGCGACGGTGGCGCACGGGGAGGTCGGATCCGGCCCCGGCGCCCTCCCCCTCCCTTTCCCGGCGGTGATGCCCTCCCCCCTTCCTCTCTCGGCATGACGGCGCTCCCCTTGCCTCTCCCTGCGCAGCGGCGCTCCTCCACCGCCGCCACCAGATCCGGCCCTGGCGCGGGCGAATCCGGCGACGGTGGCGACGGGAGGCGGATCCCGCCCCGGCTGGCGGCGGACGGATCGGCGCTGCCCTCCTCTCTCGGCCATGGGCGGATCCAGTGGCGCCTCTCCCTCCCCTTCTTCTTCCCCGGTGGGCGCCCCTCCCCTTCCCCTTCTTCCCCGGCGGCTTTGGTGGTGGTGGCGTGGTGGTGGTTGTGGTGGCCGGCGGCTGTGGTGGCGGTGGTGGCGGCGGGGTGGTGGTAGTGGCGGCGGGACTTTTTTTTTATTTTTTCAAAAATGTTTGCGAGTGTTTTTTGGACTCAGCATAGTCTTTGCCGAGTGCCCGACGTTTGACACTCGGCAAATGGCTCTTTTGCCGATAAAAATTGCCGAGTGTCGTTTGTCGAGTGTAACACTCAGCAAACACTTTGCCGAAAGTGTGTTTGGGGCTTTGCGAGTGCCCGTGGCTTTTCGGCAAATCTCGTGTATCCTGTAGTGATTATCATAAGTTCATGCCACTGAAGAAACACAAAATGAAAGTGAAAATATTTATGTCATGCAACAAGGAAAATAAATTGCTATTGATCCATCAAAACTTCACTAAAGCTTGCCTTGACTAAGATGGTATATATTCATCATTAGAAGCTACTAATAACGAAAGTGTTCTCGATCATCATGGAATAATTTCAGTTTGACCGCTCCTCGATCGTTGCAGGAGCACACGGACAGATATATAAACTGTGCCAGGCGTACGTGTGACGCGTGTCAATATATATGCAGACTTGCAAAGAAAACAAATAACATAATTGTAGAGACTAGTACAGAATCTGCACCAGGGAAATTGAAATTTATACCATGGAAGGAATAATTCCAAGAGAGTGCACGCATGATGCATCCATGCATGCATGGCGGCACTGGTTGATTGCTTGCTGCATGGGAATCTAATAATGGGACCGTCTCTAGCTACCAGCATATGTGATTAGAGATGCTTGGAGAGAGAAGAGATGCTTGGAGAGAGAGATCAAAGAGAGAGCCAGCAGGCAACAGGAGGAGGAAGAAGAGCAGCAGGAGGCTAGCCTAGCGCCATTGTTCGTGCAGGTCCCTATCCGAACTTTTTCGTTGCGTGTGCAGTGCTGCAACCTTTCCACCCCTCCAATAATCGTGTCAGATTCCAAACCCCATCGCAAACTAACACTAGATTTTTGATACTATATAGCAAGTGTATGTGTGAGAGTGATCGATGGAGATTAGTGGGTGATCCACATCGCCTGTACGTGGGAGCATATCCTGGACAATGAAAATGCTACACGCACACACACAAAAAAGAAAGTATCTAGGTAAATGCCCATTTAATTTACGGCACATCAGCCTTTTTGTTCCTTTTGTTTCCTGTTTTTGGCTAGTGTTTTTTTTTTTGCTTTCCTGTCTAATAATATACCACGACAAATCTCTTGTAGTCCTTTTGTAACAAAAACAATGTCCACCTGACCTCCTAAACTTTACTTTTCACTATCGTCATATAAAAAAATTCTGATGCCTAAAACCATCAGGAATTACTCAAATACATGTAGGAATGCAATTCCAGACAGCAAACCATGAGGAATTTGCCGACATGAGCCAGTAATCAGGAATTTGTTTACTTTAATCCTATGATTTCTTAAAATCGGATAAATATTCACCTTTGCTTGTGAGCCAATTCCCGTTTTCACCTGCTTGGGTTAGTCTTCATGGATCACTACAAGTCCAAACCCAGCATCAATGCCAAAATCAGACCCGACAGAGGGTAATTGGTAGTGATGAGCTTCCCCATCTTCCCAGACCCAGCAATGGTAGGAAGATTGAACAGACAAGTGTACATCCAATGCCATCATGTGGACTAGGAGGATAAGAAGTTTGGTAGACGAACTTGTGTGACTATTGCTAGTAAACACTGCATATATACTAAAATTGTAGTTGCCGATGCTTAGCCGTGGTAACCTTAGATTGTAAATGAAGGATAAAACTCCACCAGTTCTTCTATCCTCTTTTCCTTATATTAAAATGTCCTATAGGGATTTGAGAAAAACTGAATTGCAGCATATAGGGAAGGGCTACTGCAGCAGATTGAGGAAACTTCATCACCTTTATTACATGGACCCACATGTCAGTGACAGACGGGAGGAAAGGGGATTTAGAAAAAAAAACTGCTTCCTCTCTTCTGTTTGAGGAATTGAGGGGGAGGCTTTGAGGGATTGAGAAACAATATAGGGAAAGAGGGTTGAGAATTGGATCCGCTGGAGCAGTTTTTTCACCTCATTATCCTTTATGCCAATTTTTAGGAAAAGGATATTGCTTTTCTCAATCTGGTGGAGTTGCTCTAACGACCTTATTTTAAGAAACAAGGGTGAAGAGACCAAATCAAAGATAAGGGTTACACTCCGGGCATCATTTAGGGGAATAAATTTAAATGAACTTCTTAGTAAAAAAGCTTCTTATATGACTTTCTCTGTAAAACCCCCGCTACAACCACGGTGGTTCATAAAATTCAATTTTTCAACCACATTCAAGTAATAACTAAGTACGCAACACCTAAGTGACACAACCATTATATATGATCTCCTTATTATAATAAGGGGACTCCTAAGAGGCAGATGAGTGTTTTGATGCCTATCAACAGTTTTTTTTAGGCTCCAAATCCAACGAGATTAAGGTTTGAAATTTAGGATTCGGAGTTTGGGGTTTCATCGACAGGAGCATCGCCAAGAGTTTTTCTTAAACTCACTCTCTAAATCCTCATTTGGAGAGCCATTTGCATAAGAATCATATATATATATATATATATATATATATATATATATATATATATATATATATATCTTTCCACCTTCTAAGGGTTTCTCTATATCTTATCCGCGCTTTGGAGAGCCATCGATCCCCACTCTTCGTCTTTAACTAGTGAGAAAACATGAATAGAATTAATATGGCAATATTTTGAGATCCAACCGAAGAAGCCATTGAAATGTTTTTTTCACCAAATTA